CAGCACTGGGAAAAGTGGAGTGCACCGTGTCCGCATGCAGGTCTTGTTATTTATATGTGTGGTTCATGGCGCCATGAAAAAATAGCTTTGAAAAGAGAATCAGATGTATACTTCTATGCAATAGTTTGGATTTATTAAATCCCTTTTCCTGCAGATTCAGGCTAAAAATGTGTCCTTGTGCTTCAGCAGAAGTTAATGCATCAAAATGTGCTTTTAAACATGTATTTTACAAAAGAACATACACAGCATTTGTTGTTTAATTTGTATTTCTGTGAAACAGCAAGGAATTTATTACTTTGCACATATTTTTTGTTAGTTTTTTTTTGTTCTGATTTACTTAAATGACATCAAGCTTAATTGTTACACATGTGCATGGACATTTATTTTGGTTTTTGCAAGTGGATAAAGAAGCTCAGGAAAGGATTGCGTCAAAAGACAATTTTCCCTTCCAAAAATTATCAATTCATTATTTCCCACGGTATATTGTTTTGAGTGATGCTACTGATGCAGGGACATCATGGCTCTCTTATTTGAATTTGGACATTTGCAGAGAAATTGGTAATTACTGGTTAGTTATCCATGTAAGCTGGTTATGTGGGTTGACCACTTAAAATGTGTTAACACTGGTGTAAAGACCAGAAAACCAATCCAAATCATAATATTGGGTAACAGATAATGTACATGTAGAGTCATATAATACAATGTACAATGTAATAGTATTATAATTCATATACAAACTGTAACTGTTTAAGTGACCATATTAATGGTAGACGTGTCTGCTGCTCAACCCAATGTTTATACGAATAACAACAACAACAACAACATATTTATTTGATAATAAGGCCACCGGCCCATAATATACAAAGCAACATGGATAAACATTTTACGTCCCTCTAATTAATATCGTCAGCTTTACAAAGAATATGGTGTATGTAAATACATATATTACGTATTGTTGTATCACAACTCGAGTTCATTAATGAATAGAAATCATTTAAATTTGTTCTTCCATTATACCAATTTAGTAAGTATAGTTGGCGTACTTCATTATATTTATAGCAATGGAAAAAAGCATGAAATTCACAATCTATAATTGATATATTTCTATTATTTAAACAATATGTACAAAAGCGTTGTTCTCTTGGTATATTTAAATGTCTACCGATTTCTATTTTAAGTTTGTGGTTAGAACACCTAAACTTAGAAAAAGATTTCTTATAAATAAATGGTAGGTCCAATATTAGGTATCTTTCTACATTTAAAAGTGATTTAAAATTTCTATAATGAAAGCATCGACTAGAAGTATTAATATCATTATGCCAATTTTGAGTGTAGCAATCAACCAGTCTCTGTTTAAACAAAAGGATAAACAGGTCAGGATTACCTATTTCTTGCGAAATCCAGGCAAACCCAAAACCATACTCGAATAATAAATTTTTTTATCTTAGTAGCCCAATTATATCTCCCACTATATCATCATGATTTTTCAACATAAGATAACATTGTCGCGGATATCTTGATTGTTGCATAGTCAATAACTTGCACCAATATTTTATACAGTTAGACATGTAAAATATACATAATGGTAACCTGCCACATTCTCCTAGTGCCATTACATTATTTGTAGTTCTATTAACATTAAGGTACCTTTTACAAAAATCATTATGAACAGTTTCAATAGTATTTACATAACAATAACCCCATACTTGTGAGGCATAACATAATATTGGTTTCACCAAAGCATCAAATAATTTAAAGTATTCTTTGACTGGAAAATATCCAAATGACTTTTGATACTGTTTGATGGCTAGAATAGATTTCTTTGCTTGAATAGACAATTTATCGTGGGTTGATGACCAAGATATAGTCGGTGTAAGATGAACACCCATATATTTATAAATTGATACTACATTAACAGGAGATCCACGTTAGAGCCAAGATTCATAATTTCTAAGACCACCTCCATTACGGAATACCATAATCTCTGTTTTGTTTAAATTTAATTCCATACCCGTATCTTGACAAAATACGTCTATTATATTAATATGTTGCTGTAATTTTGACAGCGGTTTCTGCGCAATTAGCAATGTCGTCCGCAAAACATAAGACAGTAATGTCATGTATGTCATTAGTTATAAAAATTCCTGTTCCACACGAGAGACGTAGTAAACTCTGCTAATTCATTAATAAAAAGTATGAATATAGTTGTGCTGCTTACGTCTCCCTGTTTTGTTCCAACATTACAGGGGAAATAATCAGTAGATAAATAACAGCAATTGTTATCATTAAAATTTGGTCTTTTTTTAGCATGATTACAGTCGAGTTTAACACACGATAATAGATCGGTATACATAGTCTTGAGCACGCGTAAAAAATTGCCGCGGAGACTCTACGATATAATATTTCAAAAAGCTTCGCGTGGTTTAATTTGTCGAATGCTTTCTTAAAATCAACATAAATACAATAGAATCTACCACCTTTTCTTGTTAAATATTTCTGAGCCATTGCCTGTAAACAAAAAATATTATCTACCGTTGAGTACCCGTGTCGGAAGCCGGCTTGTGACTCGTCGATTTTATTGTTATTTTCGGCCCAATTATAAAGTCGAGTATTGATAAGTCTAGAAAATACTTTATACAGAGTATTCGTTACAGAAATCCATCTATAGATACTAGGGTCATTAATCGACCCGCTTTTTATGGATTGCCGTAACCACGCTTTTACCCCAAATTTTAGGAAAGACGCCCGTGTTAAGTATTCTGTTAAACAACGCTTCAATAATGTTAATACTGTCATTTAATGTATACTTATAAAACTCTGATGGTATGCCATCAGGTCCGGGACTTTTGCCATTAGACAAATTATTAATGGCTGATTCGATTTCAGCACGAGTAAACGGTTGATCTAGCTCAACACACTGTTCATTATTTATTTCAGTCAAATTACCCGTGTTTAAGTGATATGGCGGAATCATCGAACAAAAGATCTTTTAAAATACGCATACCATTCATTGGCTGAAATTTTTACACACTGTCTTTTTCGGAGGACGTGAACGCTTAATAAGTGACCACATATCCTTAGGATTATTACTAACATTAATGAGTTTTTGTCTTTGTCGCGCTGAAAAAGTAGCTGTTTTCTACGACAATACGCCTTAAACTTTATTACGTTTTACCTTATATATACTCTTAAATCATGCATTAAGTTTGATGTTCTAAACCTACGTAGCGCGTTTATATTTCTCGCGTTTATATAAATCGCAGTTCCCACCCCACCATTCGGGCTGTGACTGTTTGTATCTAAAGGATCTTATTCGCATATTAGATCCTGCCTCTTTATAAACGGCTGTCATATAGACAATGCGCTGTCAATATTAGTCGTTATCTCAGACATAATTCTATCTTGTTTCTGACGTAACAGACTACCAAACTGACTTAAAAAATTAGCTCTATGGACTTCATTCCAACGAAATTTTTCGTGTTCAATTGTACATGTTATATCATTATCATTAGAAACGGCATTAATTACCAAGTCCTTGTATGGTAAAGACAGAGAACATGATATAGGGAGATGATCAGATACATCATTTTCTAAAACTTTGAAATTAACAATATATTCAAATAGATTTGAACTAGCTATTATATAGTCGACAACGCTGACACCCTCATTTGCGTAGCATGTATACTCCCCTAATGTGTCATTTGGATATCTCCCGATTAAAATGTGAATATCATACAAACAACATAAATTAAGCAAAGATTTTCCAAAATTATTACAAACGCCATCTTTATTGTTACGAGGTAAACAAAATGTACTACCGTTATAATCAGAGTCACCAAATATATACGTTAAAGTGTCATCATAAATAAAATCAGGTAAATTTTTTGTTCTAGCATTTGTATCTCCAGCAAAAAGAATATATGAATTAGGAAAGTTTTAATTTAATCATTTCAATATCACCCTGAATTTTAATAATTCCATCATTTTCTTCTAAATTATCATAAACAGAAGATCCCTCCGGTGAAACATACGCAAAATAAAAAAACAATATCTTCTACTGATAAACAACTGAGAAGACTTAATAACAGCACTACACAATCTGTCATGTCATAAAAAATACGTTCAATCAAATGTATACATTTTTAAAACTAGAGTTTATAAATATACTAACCCCTCCACTATTTCTAAATGTGTGCATTATTATATGGTCTTACATAATCATAATGTAAATATAACCCTCTAAAAAACTGTCAAACTCCTTCCTTAAATTTTGACCATGTCTCATTTAGCATAAAATATCAAATGTTTTTAGAAAATCTTTGGTTATAAAGTACAATTATCTAACCGTCTTTAAACCACAAATGTGTCCATGACAGTTATATAAAGTCAAAATAATGGCTTTGGCCACTTTCCTAAGCTAAAATTGGCCTCTACTTCGGATCTTTCCGTATCCATCCCGGCTTGCTGCCGATTGGTTATTTATAAAAGGTTCGTTCTGTTTCAGCTAACACAGACGGTCGTCTGCTATCTTGCGATTAGTCGTCTGCCTATGCTACACTATGGATTGTGTATTGTCACTATATTTATACACCCCATCATTTATAATTGAGTTTATCATACCGCACACTCGAGTAGTTTTCCATGTTGACGCTCTTCGATCATTCTTTCCCCAGAATATTTTCGGTTCCTGTCTGCGTACGCGATCCGTGTAGTCATACTGAAATGTAAACATTACTATCACGCTGCAAATTACTTTTGGCCAATTGCATAATAGTAGTGCAATCCACATAATTACAAAAAGTCAGCAATATCGTTGGTGTAGACGAATTTGACGATTTCACTCTTCGTATATCATCAATCTGAACAGTACTGGCATTCTCACATTTAAGGTTATTTTGCAAGAATTCCCTGGCTTTTTGCTCTGTAACAGAACAGAATCTATTAATTTTGTAATTATTAAGTACAAAGTTTTTTCTGATTTTTATATATGATAATTTCAGCAAGTTGTGAATCTGACAGATGGTTGGACAGAATATTACAGACCACAAGGAGAGTATAGGGAGGATTCTACTCATGAAGATGTTGTGTTACTGCTGGAGGCTAGAGACCTACCAATGTTTGATACTTTCTTTAGAACACGAGCTACAAGTAGCCCCCTGCTGAAAAAGTTCATGTAAGCATAATTTGTTAATTTCGATATTAAAGTAGGACCTGTTTGGCTTTTTATTAATCAGTGGGACTGTTTTTGGCCTTTATCCTGGTGATATACACATATATAAGTTATTCGAAAAAAATCTGGGAAAAAATGTGATCCCTCAAAAGCATTAATCACAAACAAAATTACATGAAATTGCAGACTATGTTTTAATTGAGTCTGTACCATGAGTGATAAAGTTAAAAAAGTTTATAACACAAATTTGTTCTGACATAGAAGATATGTACAGATTACAGACACAGAGACAAACATAGTATTTACAATAAGTAATTGCTACCTGCATACCAATAATTTTACTGAAAAACTACAAAGACAGGCCCCCTTAACTTAAAGTCAAAGAAATCCCTGTATTAAATTGGCTTTATTCCAATTAAGATCCTCTTAACATAATGTTCATGGTTATACAGTAAAAACTGGGGAAAAACCGGACCCTCTGAAAACCGGAAATCCTCTGAAAAACCGAAACCATTTTAAAGTCCCGTATTTTCTCCCTATATGTTCATTTGAAAAAAAAATCCTCTGAATACCGGAACCTCTGAATTCTGAAAACCTCGGACGATTTTCTATGGGTTTCTAATGCTAAACATGCATTAAAAATTCCTCTTGAAAACCGGGACAGCAATTTTAAGTGTCAACTTTTCTGTTGTTTTTAATGTAGAATCTAAAAACATAATCTCAACAGGGTACATGTTCAAATACCAGGTAATGGTCAATTTTCCTTTTAGTCTATGCAGGTGTGAAAAAACACTTGTTCAGTGTATTTGTTAATTTCTAATTGGTCAATTAAAAATTATAGCTCTTGTGTTCATCAATTTGGTTTTTTTTCCTATGTAGATTTAATTTTTCAAAAATGTTTTTAATGTGTTTATTGATTTTTTTTAATATTAAAAGGTCTAAAAAGAGTTCAAAACTGTTTTTTAAAATGATTTCATGTTTTTTGCTTAAATTTTGATCATTGAAGTTATCTTTTTTTTGATATCAATTATATGCAAAAATAGTAACACTAAAAAATACCATTAATAACATAATTTTTCAAAAGCTAAGTGAAAAAAAGATATTATGATATAATTTCAACACAATGTGGTGTTTTTTAAATTTCTTGATTTTTCTTGAATTACATTCATGGATTTTCCATAATAAAATTACTTAAGAACATTTTTTTGCAAAAAAGAACTTAAAATATGACTTAAAGAACAAAAGGGTTGACAAAGTACATACAAAATGATTGAACAAAGTCATTGTTTCAAAACAACATCATAATTATCAATGAAATGTATAAAACCTCTGAAAAACCGGAATCCTCTGAAAACCGGGACTTTTGATCAAGTCCGCACAGGGTTTCCGGTTTTCAGAGTTTTTACTGTATATGTATACATGTATTCATGTGCTATGTCCACAAATTGAAAAACTTCAAAAAAAGATATTTAGATTGAGAGTAAACTAAGAAAATTTAAAATGTGAATGATAAGAAAATACTATAAAGAAATGTTAATAAATGCAGATACTAGCTCATGGTGCTGCAGTGGCATGGAAGTCAGGTTCTCCATTTGGGATTATTTTACACTGTACCTTGGACGAGTTTGTCACGTTGTCCATGGCATTTTGTGAGGATCGTCTTACGATGGATGAAGATCTAGAAGTTCACTCCATAATGTGTAAGTGATTATTACTTTAAATGATGCAGATTAATTTTTTCCTGTTCCGTCAGTTCAAACTTTGTGATGATGGTTAAATATTAAAAGACCAATGCAGAATACCATCCTTTAACTTTATATTGGTAGATTTTACTGTCAGAAGATCACATTTTACTTAAAATTGAGCTTTACCTGTGAAAAGTGAGACATTAAAATGAAAATGTAATGATTTTTGGCTGGGTTGCACTGGTCTGTTGCTTATCCACTTCCTGTTTACCGACTTAGTTAAATTTTCGACATAAATGGTCAATGGTAGGAAATTTTCGTAACAGTTTTCTCAGCAACTACTTATCACAGCCTCTTGATATTTAGCATACAGCATTGATATGTGGTCATATACCGTGGGATATGATTTCAGGTCTGTTGCTCATCCACTTCCTGTTTACCAACTTAGTTAAATTTCAACCTTAATTGTCAATGTTAGGAAATTTTCGTAACAGTTTTTTCAGCAACTATTTATCACAGCCTCTTGATATTTGGTATACAATATTAACATGTGGTCCCATATTGTGGTACTTGATTTCAGGTCTGTGTTCATCCACTTCCTGTTTACCGACTTAGTTAAATTTCAACCTTAATTGTCAATGTTAGGAAAATTTTCGTAACAGTTTTTTCAGCAACTATTTATCACAGCTCTGATATTTGGCATACAGCATTGACATGTGGTCCCATACTGTGGGATTTGATTTTAGGTCTGTTGCTCATCCACTTCCTTGTTTTACCAACTTAGTTAAATTTTCGACATTAATGTCAAATGTATGAAATTTCGTAACAGTTTACCTCAGCAACTATTTATCACAGCCTCTTGATATTTGGCATACAAGCATTGAACATGTGGTCACCCAATACTGTGGGATTCGAATTTTAGGTCTGTTGCTTCATCCACTTCCTGTTTACCGACTTAGTTAAAATTTTCTACTTTTATGGTCAATGGTAGGAAAGTTTTGTAACAGTTTTCTCAGCAACTATTTTATCACAGCCTTGTATATTTGGCATACAGGCCAATTGGGACATGTTGGGTCCCATAACTTGTGGGATTTGATTTTTAGGTCTGTTGCTCATCCCACTTATCCTGTTTACCAAACTTAGTTTAAATTTTCGACAATTTAATGGTCAAATGTATAAAATTTTCGTAACAAGTTTTCTTCAAGCAACTATTTATCCACAGCCTCTTTGAATATTTTGGCATACAAAGCATTGGGACCATTGTTGGTCCCATTAGCGTGGGATTTAATTTCAGGTCTTATTGGCTCATTTCCACATCCTGTTTAACCGACTTAGTTGAATTTTTTCGAGCTTTTTGATGAATCAGTGGGCAAATATTTTTTTCGTAACATCAACAGGGGGCATCATGATATTTGGGTATAACCAAATGCAACCCGGCGTTTTCTGTTCATGACCCAATTTTTAAAGCTCAACTGTCACAAAGTTGGACCAGGGTGAGCTTTTGTGATCGCTTTTCGTCCGGGCGGTCCGGGTCCGTCCGTCCGTAAACTTTTACTTTAAATGACATCTCCTCATAAACCACTAAGCCAATTTCATCCAAACTTCACAGGAATGTTCCTTTTGTGGTCACCTTTGAAAAAAATTGTTCAAAGAATTTTAAATTCCGATGAGAGAACTCTGGTTTTGCCCATGGGCAACCGAAAGAAAAAAAACTTTAAAAATATCTTCTTTTTAAAAAGAAAAAACCATAAGAAAGCTAGAGCTTAAGATATGTTTGGCATTGAAACATCTTCTAGTGGTTGTTACCAAGTTTGTTCAAATAAAAGCCCTGGGGTCAAAAATTGGCCCCGCCCCCAGGGGGTCGAATTGATTTTCCCTATATTGCATAATTAGTAAAAAACGTAAAAAAAATCTTCTTTTAAAGAACCCAAAGAAGTTAGAGCGTAAGAAATGTTAAGCAGAAACATGTTCTTAATGGGTGTCCTACCAAGGTTTGTTCAAATGAAAACCCTGGGGTCAAAAATTTGGCCCCGCCCCGGGTCATTGATTTTCCCTATATGCATTATAGTAAAAACCTAAAAAAATCTTCTTTTAAAAAAAGAACACTCCAAATAGAGCTTATGGCTAAGATATGAGCAATCGCAAAACATGTTCACATAGGTGTCTGAACCAAGGTTTTGTTTCAAATTAAAAGCCCTGGGGTCAAAATTGGCCCCTCCCCAGGGGTCATTGATTTTCCTTATGTGCATTATAGATAAAAAAACTTAACAAAAATCTTCTTTTAAAAAACTCCAAAAGAGCTTATTGGGCTAAAGAAATATTTAGCATCAAACATGTTTCAATTAGGTGTCTAACCAGTTGTTCAAAAATAAAAAGCCCTGCGGTCAAAATTTGCACTGCCCCGGAGGTTCATTGATTTTCCTTTATATTGTGTAAAAGCCCAAAAACGTTAAAAAAAAAATCTCTTTTGAAAAAACCACCCAAAATGAAGCTAGCGTTAAGAATGTAAAAGCATGAAAACATACTTTGAGTGAGTGGTCTACAAAAAGTTTGTTCTAATAAAAAAGGGCCCTGGGGTCAAAACTTGGGGCCCGTTGCCCCAGGTGTTGTCATTGTTTTTTAACTATAATGGTATAGTAAAAACTTAAAAAAAAAATGCGTCTTTTAAAAAAAAGCCCAATTTGAGCTAGAGCTTAGATGTGTTTTAGCATTGAAACATCGTCTTATGGGTGTTTCTACCAAGTTTGTGCAAAATAAAAAGCCCTTGGGTTAAAAATGGCCCTGCCAACGTTGGGGGGGGGGCTATATACAGGAGCAACCTCAGGGCAGGCATGGCCCTCTTGTTTTGTAAAGTTACATGTTTTATCACTTTCTTTAATTTTGTATAAATAAAATTATAGCGGGACAGGTCCGGAGCGCGATAAAAGCTAATCTAATGAAATTATTTGTCATAAAAATGGTCCAACGGCAGTAAAAAATGTATTGTGTTCAGTATCTAAATGACTGATCTCACAGAAGGATTTGTAATATAAAATGTCATCTGTTATAATAAGCCAAACCATGACCAAAACCAAACATAGTTGCGTTTTGCGACCTAAGCAGGGAACGGATTCCAGACCAGCTTGCACATCCGCGCAGTCTAGATCAGGTTCCATCTGTTCGCTTACCAAAACTTCTATAACAAAGTAGAGAAACTGATAGCGAAAACACATGCGATCCTTGGAATCAGACTGCAACGGATGTGCAGGCTTAGTCTAAGATCCATGCTGGTCGCAAACCCATTATGTTGGTTTTTTTTTGTTCATGGCCGAACGGCTATTATAAGCCAACATGAAATATTGTAATGAAAAACAGAGTAAAATGTTAGAAAAGAAAACATGCTGCTGTTTTCATGGTAGGGGTTTTAAACCTCTTGACAAAATTGTTTTTGTGCATGCACTAATTCCTCTTCAGGTAATATACTAACATTTTTTCTTTGCATTTTTTGGAATTATTCTTTTTAGATATTCAAATAAATAAGGTTTGTAAAAATTGCAGGACAGCAAGATATAAAGCTTTAGACCAACTGAAATATGTAAAAAAAATAAGAAGGATTTTTATTCAGGTTTCTTCAATTGGAAAAAACTCTTGGTTATTAGGTTTGGCAAAAAATTAGTGGCATTGCTGGGGTATAAAAAAGATTTACTGTGCAAGAAACTCCTTCAGTGTATGTTTGTAAGGGATTTCAAACCAGTTAAGGCAACTTTGTTTTGAGTTTGTGGACCAAATTGGCCCTTTCATTTATTTTCCTAATTTTTGTAAAAAATTTAACGGATTTTTTTCCAGCTTTGAAAAAAAGGAAATTTGGGGAATTTTTTTTTTGCATTTCAGGTTATTTAAAAAAATTGGATCTTTATTTTTCTATTGTTAAGAAATTGGATAATTTGTTTTTTTGTTTAAGCTGTAAAAAATTTGTGAAAGGAAAATTCATCTAGTCTAGTGTTAAAATTCAAAGATTAGACACCAGATACTGCTAAAAAAAGTGCCTTAAACCAAAAAAGAAAATTCTGCTGACACTGATACAAAATGACAGTAAATGCAGGGAGATGGCAATGATAATTGCTTAAACAGTTGGCAAACCCATTTATTAAGCCCCACCCCAATCAAGAAGCCAGGATCAAGGTTAACTGATTTATGGTCCCCATTGAATCGTTGGCGTCAAAATTCATCAATCTGGACGTACTTCAAGAGCTTCTTGATGATGAATAGGATGCTTGAATCGCAGGGACGCCGGAAAACAGTTGATAGGTCAATGATGGAAAGTGGGGCCGAGAAAGAAGAAATTTGAGTGATTTTGAAACGTGCCAGGTAGCTCTCAGTTAGCACGTTCAGGGTCTCTTAGTCAAAGTTGGAAAGTTTGTTTGTCAAGCATCTTATTGCAAAAAACCACCAAAATGTTCTTGTGTAATGCTGGGAAAAAAATACTCGGTTAAGAAAAAATTTGACAAAAAGTCAAGAAAATTTTACAACAAGTGCCTAGATAGTGAATCTTACGTGATTTATTCACTTGAAAACACCAAAGGAAATTAAGAAAACTACTCCTTGGATTGGAAAAACACAGTTCTTTTAGTGCTCTGGGCATCAAAAAGAAAATTCACAAGATGCAAAAAATGAAAACCTTTATGAAAAAATACTTTCGCAGGGCCGGTTTGGAAAAATGATTTTTGGTTTAGGAAGTGGGATTTGATCAAAAGAATTAGTTGAAAACAAACCCTGTAATACCGTAAGGAGAACTGGATTCGTCAAAATCTGGAAGTTAACAAAGAACATGGTCTTAATGTTTCCCACTTATTTCAGGAATGATATTTCTTATGATTTTCCAAAAACCATTTGCTGAGGGGACCAAGTCATGTTACACAAAGCTTGCGTTCAGACACAAATGGCAATGTTTTGCTCATTGTAAGGATCAACCAGGAAACAAAAGGAAAGTTGCTGCTCCAGCGATATTTGTCAACAGGTTTATAAATTTGAATTTCTTTCAGCC